CCCTCACCGCCGCCCCCGCCTCCGGCGCAGGTGCCGCTCGACTTGTGGGACCCGTTCGGCTTCACCGCGAAGATGTCGCAGGAGAAGAAGGACGCCAAGCTCGTGACGGAGCTCAACAACGGCCGCGCCGCGATGCTCGGCATCATGGGCTTCGTCGCTGCGTCCAAGGTGCCGCGCGCACGCGCGCGCGCGCACACACACACACTCACTCACACTCACACTCACTCACACACTCTCTCTCTCTCTCTCACACACACACCGCTCGCCCACGCGCACCGGGCCTTGCACTTTTCAATGCCGTGGGGCTCCTGTCGTCTAGACGTGGAGACGGGCTGCCCCCCCCCCCCCCTCCCCACACCACCTGTGTGTGTGTGTGGAGAAGTTTACCGGACCTTACCTCCACAGGTGCCGGGCTCAGTCCCCGCGCTCGACGGCTTGATCGCGCCGTACAGTGGCGAGGTGATGGCGCCCTTCTCGGCGGGCGATTCGGCGCTCCCCTTTGTCGAGGGCATGCTCAAGGCCTCCCCCTTCTAGAGTGTGGCAGCTTGGACTAGTGAGGCCAAGGCGGGCCCTCCCCTTTGCGTTTGAGTCTCCCCCCTCCACCCCCCGCGCATGAAGCAGTGCCACTCGCCCACTCCCAGTGCGTCGCTGTGTCCTCTCTGAGCGTTCGGGGAGAGGGACGCCAAAAAAACTCTGTGTTGACTTGTGCCCCACAACCCTGAACCCGCGGACGATGACCGCATCGCGCCATCGGAGTCCTGCACATTGGGCTTTTGCAGTGATGGCCATTTACTGGTAAAAGAGTGGTATTTACCACTTATTTGATTCTCCTGGGGAGTGGTATGGTATGAGCAGAGAGTGGTATGGTAAATTACGAAACTCAGGGTAGTGCCATTTCACTGTGGCACAGCTCGCGTTACAAAACCTTGATTTGACCATTTGCGCCATTTTGTCCCTCTCGGTGCCTTCCAGAGGCAGCTGCGACCCCGCCAAGTGGACGGGGGCACTCGGCAGGTGGCGCGGAGTGCCCCCGTCCACTCGGCGGGGTCGCAGCTGCGTCTGTGCGTCCTGGGGAGGGACAAAATTGTCGCCGCCCGGAAAGACTCGACGCCGCTTGAAATGGAGGATCAAGCTCTGACAGGTCGCACGTCGCTCCTTTGACGCCGACGTGACTC